GCTAAATAGGTTTTTTTACATAAAAAATGCAAAGGCACATTACAAAATGACTAAAACGTAAACTAAAATTAAAATAACAATTTTAAATATTAAAATAAAAGTAACAATATTCATAATTGCTACAATAGTATATATATATAATAATTTAAAAAATACCTCAAACATACAACACACATACCATGCAGCTAGTGAGGATGAATTTTGTTTTTGAATTATTTCATGGTCTTTGTCTCATCTTATCCAAATCAGACTGCAAACTTGTGAATCAACTAAAAGTATTGTTTCAGAAGTGATGTAGTGCAAAATTTTTGTCTACACCAACATGCAGAACTGTTGAGCGATTTCTATGTAAATCACTCTGATATTGATCTAATTCGGCTTGGCATTGGTTCATTTCATTCTTGACAATACTAAATAATTCCCACTGAACATGCAAGGCAGAATGTTCTCGTAATGGTGCACAATAGACCTCTAAGAGCTACAGTGCTGACCTGGGAAAATATTAATTAATATGTATGCAGATTTGGTGAATAGGAGCTTAACTTTAGTGTTTCAGTGAATGCAAAATGAGGGACGTTTTGTCCTCGACAGCAGTGCCAAAATGAACCAGACGTCTCCTCAGATTTGACTGCTCTAAAACAATGATATTTGCAGCATCTTCCCTCCTTTTTGCTTTGTGACTCTCAAGGCTTTGCAGGGTTACCATCTGTTAAAATTTGGTCTGTTCCTCATGCAAAGTGTCATATGACTTCAGAAGACTGGGAGTGCAGCAACACAAGGCGACTATTGTAAGTGCATTTTGGTGTTTTGTTCATTGTTTTTGGAGCTTAACATATAAATTGCTTTGTGACGATTCGTCAATAATTCTCCTGTTTTTGTTCCACAGAAATGATAATCTCTTCATATTCACACACAAGACGACATAACATGGATTTTATGCAGTTAGACAAAGGAAAAGTGTTATCATGATGACTTTTGTAAGTGCTTTTTCGGGTTTTGTTTGTGTTTGGAGCTTAACATATGAATTGCTATGTCATTATTAGTAATTCTCCTTTTTTCTTCCACAGAAACAATAATATCTTCATATTCCTACACAAGATGATGTTCACAGCATCTGCTTTCAAGTCAAAAAGCAGATGGATTTCATCTTTTTCCCCCACCTAGTTTATTATAAATACATGTATACACAGGCTACAAGTCATAAATGAGGTACATAACTGATAAAGAGTATGTACAAATCTCAGTTTTCATGTATTTACAGTACATACAGTGGTTTATAAAGGACATGCACCATGTAACTGCAATAGCATCAATCTATGAAACCTATCATATTATATTCCAAGTTATAAATAGTAACCGATTCTTCGATATCTGCTCATGTAAGACTAATATTCACATAACATGGTTCCCTTTATGTGTAACAGTGCTTTAATGACAACTAGTCCCTGTACTGGAGGTCGCAAAGTGGTTTTAGTCTGCATCTTCGGATGATAGGCATTTCTGCCTAGCTTCGTGATCGTCAAACGTCACTTTCTTATTCCGTTTGGGATCGATCCAGGAGTTTCGAATCACCGCGTTGTTCGGCAGCGGATCCGCCTCGATGATGGAAACCACCCGTTTCTTCATTTTACTTTTCAAGACTTTCTGGAACTTCTGCCTCGTGAAGGCATACAAGAGAGGATGGAAGACCGTGGTGCCATAGGCCATGACCAGAAAACCCAGTCGGAGCTTAACGGTGAGGTCGCTGGGGCCTGCGCTGAGGATCACAGTGTTTAAAACGGTGATGGGCGTCCAGCAGAGGAGGAACGTCGAGATGATGAGCAACGACATGCGGAAAACACGCTTTTGGCGCTCACGCCGCTCCCGGTGGCGCTTGACGGCCCTTCGCAGGGCGATGATCACCGAGACGGATGTGCGCATGCCAAGCGGAGCATTTCCGCGGTTACTGCTCTGCGAGGTGTCCGTGATCTCGGGCAGCTGTTGCTCAGATGTTGACATAAGGGAAAAGTTATTTTTCCTCCTCATCTTTTTCTTCTTCTTCTGCGTGGCATGGAAGCGTGTACCAATGCGGATGTTGAGCGCCTGCAGGATCTTGGCGTACGTGACTAACATGATGACGGCAGTCAAACAGAAAATGGGGATTTGGGCCACTAGGTGGTAGTACAGACCAAGTTCGGTGTAATATTCGTTGACATGCACAACGGTGGTCTGATTGGCTTTGGTGGGCTCCGGTCCCAAGAATCCCACCTCGATAAATGGCACCAAGAAGCTGACGAAGGACAGCAGCCAAATGCAGCCCAACAGAGCCACCGCTCGTCCCATAGTCAGCACACGATTGGCCGGTTTAACGGAGATGTCGTATCGGTCCAAAGTGATGGCTAGCACGTTTGCCGCCGTAGCCACGCTTGTGAAGGACACGCAGGCCTCATGGAAGCAGCAGACGAGCACCGTGTCGCCTTGCAGCGATAGCATCAACACAACAATGGTCAGAGGGATGCAGCAAACGCACACCAACACATCCAGCACGTGGAGGTTCATGGTGACAATGTTGCTGACGGAATTGACCAGGTTGGACTTCATGCAATAGAGGGCCAGTACGGTCAGGTTGCTGCTCAATCCCAGGACAATCTCCAGCATGAGGAATCCGGTGAGGGACACCTGGAAGCTGAGTGGGTACGGGTAAGGGCCAGCCGCCGTCATGGCGGGACTCACGGACTCGATGATGTCGAGGACTGTAACGTTACTCATCGTGCTTTCTTCCTCCGTTGCGGGAGGGAGGTGCATTATCCTAAAAGGTAAAAACAGCAGGATGCATAATCAGAGAAATGTGTAGGAAAACCAGACACTTTGAACAGCATTGTGTCATTCAGTATTGAATTGAGGATCCATTAGAATTCCAATTCGGTTCCCAAATTGGAATATATGTAACAAACAGAATTGCAATTCGAATTTCAATGTGAGAATTACAAGGAAAGTCATTTTTACCTAGAAATTCAATGTTTGTCAAGACTAACTTTGAAAAATGATGTCTGAAGTTTGAATTTCTTGCAGATGGATAGATAGTTGATGTGCTACTAATCTAAAAGATAGCAGCTAAACAACATTCACATTTACGCATTTGGCAGATGCTTTTATCCAAAGTGACTTGCGTTTCATTCAAGGCGCACATTTACTTTTTTATCAGTTCTTGTTTTCCCTGGGATTCAAACCCATGACCTTGGCATTGCTAGTGCCATGTGCTACTCTTTGAACTACAGGAAAGCCAAATTAAGTTGTCTGTAATGGCAACAACATGTTATGATTCAAGAAATCTGTTGGGGGTCCCACATATCGAGACCAACAAAACCATTAGATAAAGGGTCTTTTTCCCTTGTTCTAAACCCGAAGACCAGGCCCACACGGTATCTGTGGTAAATTATTGCTGGATTCACACCACTGCCTCTACAACTTGAAAGTCCATTTAAATGTTTTAGCTGGTTTGATATTGTTTTCATCTCTTAATGACCATGTTTTACTCCATTTGCAGAGAATTTGGCAGATTTTCAACAAGGATCAGTTCAGAAAATGCACAAAAACGTCTGCAGATTCCCTCTGGGCCTGCTAATGGCTTTACATTCGATGTTTGCGTGCACGCTGACTAATAATGCATTGGCCATTCCGTGTTGGGCGCTGCTATGAATAGACACACTTTAGTTATTATTTTTGTCCACAATGCATTTTCATTTGTTGTGCAGCGATGGATTGCTCCATTTACAAATGTGACTGTCTTTAGTGCTGGGTTTCATTCATCACCAAGAGGGAGAATTTAGAGCGAGAGAGGATCGCTGAGATAATAAGTATGAACCTGGTTTTGTAATTTACTTCAATGTAGATGAATGCTTCAAGGTGCCAACATGGAACTAATAACTCTTTGTGTTGTGATGTAGACTGACTGACACAGTGGAGAGAAACCAAATGGAAACTCTAATGACTTCATGAGCTAAAACACAACACCTCACAGATCATCATGCTTGTTTTCTGGACGTACTTGACGACTAATGACAACTGTCCAATAGTTTATTTGACACATTTGTTGACTTACCCTTCCCCTTCCAGGTTCTTTCTCAGCCTCGGGAGTCAGCAGTCGAGTCAGGATAGTCTGGAAGGGGTACAACTTGTACATCAGCCTCAGGCATGGCCTTTCAAGGAAGTATTCTGCACTATTCTGATCCTCGTAATCCAAGCAATTTTCTCGCTTAGCAGTCAGAGAGGACAATTTGGCAGCAATTTCTTTAATTTTTACTAAACCAAACAATATGTTTGATCCCTTGCCATGTCCAGAACTAACAAAGAGGTGTCATTCACATTCTCTTTCAGAGGTTTCGCTCTTGTTTGTTTAAGAGTCCAAAGAAAATGGTGAGTAATTCAGAGATCAGCTGTCAATTTCTCTTTTCTAAACTAATTTGACAACTGAAAACGATTGTTTTGATTGATTATTATATCCACATTAGGGTTAGGAAGTTGCGTTTATCTCCCTCGATACCATTAGGATGAAGAAATCCAGTAACCCGGTCTCATACCGTTCCTTCAACGCTGATGTATTCCCGTTATTGCATTTTTATGGGCCCTAGAAGGTGATAAATCCACATTGATTTGCATGTGCCATCTGCTGAAGAATCCAAGGTCACAGAATTGTTTAGGTCAGCATGAGGGGGTGGTGCATTCTGGGTGTTGGAAATGTAATTTCCTGTCCCCTCACAGAAGGTGACCTTTAGGCTGCATCGTCAACGTTGTCCGAAGCACATGATAAAACCACTCCGCATCCGTGGTGTGCATGGGAATGACTTCACCTGGCAAATCCACTCTAGGGAATGTCCTTCCAGGCTGGAGAGACTCAGCACTAGTGATGGGTAAGATGGGCCGCACTGCACTTTGGAAGCAGTTTTCTTCAGCTCTTTAATCCTACAATCCTGCCAAGAAAAAAGCAAGAAGTATTGATAAGTGAACAATCAATTATTCATTAAGCCTGCATCCAATCCATCAACAAGCAAGGACTTCCATGTGTTATCCATTCATCTTTACCAAGCAGTCTGCGGAAATGCACAAGCTCTGGTCTTGCTTAACGTCCATGTGAAGGTACATCTGTGAACCTGCAGGGGTTGTTGGATGGGCCCGTGCATCTTGGGAACAATCTACAAACACTCATTTCCAAAGCAATGCCTTTTAAGGAAGGTAACTCAAGCACCTGTGTTGTTTTATGTCTGTAATTTCTCACATCATTTTTCAGTCAAGAATACGGCTCAATCACGTGTAACGAGGTGATCGTGTTCCAGCCGTGAATGAGACTTTACACTGTAAATTTTTCCCAGATGTCACAGTCCAGCAGACTTGGACAAATCGGGGGAAACCGTAAACAGAATCGATCAGGTTTTGGGGGCAAAATTTGTCAGCGGAGACGTGGATCAATAGACTAACTAAAGTCAGATTGTTGTTTACAGGCAGCGGCAAGATAATCACAAAATGTAGACATTGAGGAGGACTCGTCCCCTCAGATATTCAGATTAGTCATCAAACTGGAGTTTTCACTGACAAATTCTTGAACTATTACCTACGGTTCCTTCAGTCATGAATATTTGGTTGCATTCTTGGAATATGCATCTTTTAGTTCTGCTCTATCCTTCGTTTTGTTGATTTATCCAAGTTTGATTTACTAGGGCAACTCCAATTTTGACAGATTGCTCTCTAAAAGATGCTGGTGTCACCCAGGGAGCCATATATCTGCTATCTTCTAAGTTTCGACATCTGCTTTTTTGGATTATAACTGTTTAAATGGTTTTATATCCAAATTCTGAGTGGCATGCATATTCGTTCAATCACATTTGATCTCCAGAGTTATTCGATAACTTACCTCTTACCTTTGCGCTCCCAGAGTTCTCATCTGTCATGCAACGTAGAGTAGCTACAGCTTCATCAAAGCATCATCTGAGATCCACAAGTGCATCTTCTTCACACACTTTTGCAGCCGTTGCATGTCAGTGCGTCGTAAACCTGCATCCCCCCTGAGGAGCGTGAATCAAATGCTGTCTGTGTGAACTGTCAGCAGTGCCAGCGTAGTGAAACAGACGTCCTCTGACTTTGATCTACTGTCCTGCTAACTCTGTCTTGCTGCTTTTCCTCTGTCTTGATCCCACACGCTCTCTTCAAACTGATGCGTTGAAGTGTTGCCGTTGCGCCTCCTCATCCTCGCTTGTCCCCATCTCTCTCTCTCTCTCGTTCGCTCTTTCTCTATCTTAGTCTCCCTCTCTCACTCACTGCGGCGGTTTTGCAGTGTTGCTCCCTGCTCTGACTGGTTTGTCGTAATGGGGTTAACCTTTTCCTCCCCGGAGAGTGGGGTTGCAATCTTGCTTTTGTTTTCTTGTCGTTCTCTCCATCCAGCGTTTCCCTCCATCCTGTGATGGCAGCACAGTCTCGGCTGCATCTGTCAATCCCTGCGGAGATGCTTCGGGTTCTATTTAAGCACTGTGTCGGAGTTGCATGTTTTCATTCATATTTAATGCCGTGCTCTGTGATGAAAGTGGATAGGGGTCTACTGGGAAAAGGACACAAAAAGAGTGTGGCTCTGTTCCAAACCTCGTGAGCTGCCTACATAGGCAGCATTTTATGGCGTACAGGCAGTTTTTAAAGACTGTTGCTTCTATGATACCTCATTTGGCTAAATTTTAAAGCAGCATTACATGTATCCGTAACGGAGAAGGTAGTCCCAGAATGCATTGCGATGAGCTCAGTGGAAAAATAATAAATAAGTAATTTGTTCAATAACGGAACATATATTCAATTTAGACATGAAACGATATAAAAATACTGGCTGATACCAATAAGCCAGTAATTAGTTTCATGTATATACACACACACACACAGTATTTAAATACAAATGTATGTCTACATGTATTATTTTCAATTAATAATATTTACAATACTTAGTACATAAATACTAAATATTTAGAAAAAAAATTATGTAATAAATGTAATAATTATGTAATAATGTTAGTAATAAAATTATATATAATATATTAATATTTGTGAGATTTTATCACAAATGTACATTATTATGGGGTTATTACAGGTTAGAAAAATGCATATCTACATGTAATATTTTAAATAAATATTTACTAAACATGAATATATTGATAATACTCAATATACATTTTCAATATGAAAATATTCATTGTGAGAAATATATAAAGATATAAGTACAATTCTATAATTATGCTTTCATATTTATTTTGAGATATGCTAAAGATTATATTTATCTAGGTAAATTATTAGTACCTTTAAAGATTAACATACGCATAGTTAGTGGTTTTGCAAAGGTAATCTAAATGTAAAATTAGAGGAAATACACAACTACATATCTAACATTGGCCGATAAATTAAAGAATGTCAGCCGATATCAACGGATAACTAATATGTACCACTGTATTGTGCATCCGTAAAAAAAAAAAAAGTTCAGGTTAATTAAACACACATGATTTTACCCAATATTTGTGTGTGATATAGTGTATTTTTAGATTATAATGTCATTAGCAGCATGCAAATTATTGAAATCAATTGTATCTCAGGTCTCACGTTGACCTGTAGCTAATTGTATGATGTAAGAGCTGGTGCCTACGTAGAGCAAATTGTTCACTTACGAGATTCTATTTGTAGCCAACTGTGTAGGCAGTATAGGCAGCTCACTAGCTTTAGGAACGGAGCATGTGTGTTTGATTTAGATGATGGGAACACTTAATGTGTGTGTAATATGTAGAGGAATTGTGATTGATAGTTTCAATTAAGCCGGCCTGTCAGCTGGCAGAAGGAGAAGTCTTTCTCAATTCGTTTTGTTTGGCACATTTGGCAGGTAAGGGGGACAGTTGCTACAAGAATGTGTGTGTGTGTTCACATTTGAAGCAGTTGTTGGCATGCAGCTCTCCACATGTTCTGATTCTGAAATGCACATGTTGTATTATTAAGTGGTAAACAGTCTTCTATAGACACGGCAGCAGCGCCACTGAAAACTTTGCACTAAAGACAGGCTCGATATTTCAGCTGCCATTAATATTTCAGCATGCTTTCCCAGCGGCCTTCCAACACTGCAGAGTAATATTCTGTTATTCCTAACCATTTTTCTGTGATGATTTTTAGAGGGAAATAACATTAGCGTACAGCGTTGCGTGTGCTGTGAATAAAAATGTATGATGAATATTATAAATAACTCTTTTGATTGCCATATATATTGTTCCTCCCTCCACAGTCATGTATCTCAATATATGTGTGGTTATATGAAAAACAGACAGATGAAGGCTGTGAAAAGAAAAAAGAAGTGCAGTAAGTATATTTTACAGATATGTTCACTTACTGTACTGTGGTGGGTACCATGGTACAGTGATGGTATCAGATGGTAAGAATACGATGTTAATTTTTAGTCCTGTTTTTTAACTGATTCTTATGGTACTCTAAGCAAGGTACCTTGGTACATGTCCAAAAAAGCCAAAGTAATATAATTTACCATATTGATACCATAAGATTTTCATGGCAGATGTCCAAAAACATGATACAAGCATGGTGCCACTAGAGGTCTGCTACTCGACCCGAGCCTGACGGGACCCGAAAAACTCTCGGGCTTCGGGTCGGGTTAATGTTTAACTAATACCCTCGGGCCAGGTTCGGGTTCGTAAAAAAAAAATATATATATATATATAATTTATATATAGCATATATATAATTTTTTTTAACTTATATGTAACTTTTGCACATGTGCTCCTGATCTTGCGCGCTTTTTCTCTCACATCACGGCAGACAAAATTAGTGCGATAAAGCAAAAACTTAGTGAGGGGAAACTTATTACAGTGCCAAACGATACAATATGGCTGTAATATGGAGGAATTACAATCTTGTCCTTACGAGCAATAAAGAGCTCAGCGGCTACGGGCAGTGTAGGGCTTGCAAAGCTGTCTTGGCCTACGACAGTAAGAAGACAGGTACATCTTCTCTACAGCGACACACTGACTGTGGATGCACTCGTTCAACAGCAGGCCTGTCCGCTAGTAGCTACAAACAGACATCGGTTTCGGACTATTTATCTCCACCAGCTAAGTCAGTACCTGCTTCTGTAAAATCCAATCTCACAGAAAAATGTGTGGAGTTTTGCTGTTGCGATATTAGGTCATTTCATACGGTTGCAGGAAAAGGTTTTATCGACTTGGCACAGGACCTAATAAATGTGGGGGCTACCGGTGTTATGATGATTTGTGCTACCCGCTCAGATTGTGCTACCTCCCATTAAAAAGATAAGTAGCACAAATCGATAGCGAAAAATGCTACCTATCAGATTGTGCTACCAGCATCTTATTCATGTGGTTTGATGCTTTTTTTAATGTCCATACCTACCCCTACCCTAAACCTACCCGTCCATACCTACCCTTACCCTAAACTTACCCTTAAAACAATGCAAATATATTTTTGGTAGCACAATCTGATAGATAGCATGTTTCGTCGGTACACCGGCCGAGTCTCAGCCGAGAGTGTGCTGGCTGATCCCACAACAATCTCCCGGACATGTAAAGAAGCCGCTGCCTCAAAACGTCAGACTGTGGTCAAAGAAATATCGGATATTATGCGTGATATTAATGTTGGGATGACCACTGACATGTGGACTGACGACTACCGCAATAACAGTTTCTTAACAATTGCTTGCCACTACATCACTCCAGATTTTTTGCTTCAAAGCAGAGTCCTTACTACAGCGATGATACCCCCCTGAAGAAGCGAAAACCGGTGACAACATACGGAGAGAATTACAGCAGCAGCTCGTTTCTGTACTTGGATTTGATGCCTGTGTTATGAACAAAGTCGTCTGGGTCACTGATCAGGGATCAAATATAATTGCTGCACTCGCACCATATCATCGGCTGGATTGTCAGGACCATGTTTATAACACAGTACTCAGACGTGCACTTGATTGTGACGAACTACGAGACTGCACACCAGAGATCACACAGACTTTGTTGGCAGCAAAAGCACTCGTGGGATACGTCAAGCAAACAGGTATAATAAACCAGTTAACAAAAACTATCAGAAAAATGTCAGACACCAGGTTCAGCACTGTGTTCCATACCTTGGGTTCAATTACAGAGGTATACGCTGAGCTTCGTGAAAAACTTGACAACCGCGGAGAAAGCAGAAGAATCTACGAAGTATCTCCAGATGTCTTGGAGTTCCTGCTGGAATTTCTTCGCCCATTGCTCAGAGGGAACTAGAGGGTGACCAGTACCCCACACTTAACCTGGTTGTTTTGTGGCATGAGCGGCTTAAGCGCCACTGCAGGCCTGTGGCTTCAGACGGTCCACACCATGCCATTATTCGTGAGCGACATCTCGAATGGCTGAATTGCAAAATCAAAATTTGAGACGCTGCATAAACTTACCATATTTCTGTGGCCAAAATTCTGTCAACTTCGCATGCTGTCTCAACATGACAGAGAAGATATCCACCAAGAAGCCAGGCGTCGGATTGCTAGCTTTACCGGTGGTGGCGAGCCAGCTGTTGCAACTAAAAGAAGCAAGACTGTGGTGGCAAGAGTTTGAGGAGTGGGTAAATGTGCCCCTGAATGAAACTGTTGATGAAGTTTACCAATACATCAGCCGCAACCACGACATGGAAGAGTAGCGGGATCTCTTGGGTTGGTGGAAAAACAACAGGGGAGTTTTCCCGTTACTGTCAAGACTGGCCCGTGGTATACTCAGCATCCCTGCAAGTAGTAGCAGCAGCGAAAGAAACTTCAGTGCAACTTGATTAACTTTTAGTCAGAGGACGGCGCTGAAACCATCAACTGTCGATGCCGTTCTCTTCCTTCACAACGCATACTGAAGAAGATAAATTTGTGTAAATAGTTGTGCAACACTTTCCGTGAACTCTTGTTTGAAATTAGAAGTTCGAGATTCAAGTGGAATTTGTGACTGTCGCACCTGTGCTCACCCAGCAACGTTTCATAGTTTGTAAGTACGTGGTTTCCTCTTTTGCTCCTGTGCTGAGGGGGCCGCTGTGCCTTGATTAAACTGTTGCTTTACACGTATTTGTTTACTGACGGTTGCATGTAATCCTGAAATACAGCGTCTTGCAAAATGTTATATGTTGTGAGAGACCTATTTCAGGTTCGGGTCGGGTTCGGGCTGTAAATTTAACAGTTCGGGTCGGCTGCGTCAAACGATCTCGGGTACGGGCTCTGGCTTCAGTTTAAAGCCCGTGCAGACCTCTA